TTAATCATTTCAATAACAATTAGGAAATGATCGACATAAAAATCGACCAATCATACAAATGTCTGCCATGCTATTTTGCACTATTTACTAATTGTAATTTTTGCGAAATACTTCAGATTAAAGTATCTCAAATATTTACATTTTGTGATATTTACACAAAATTATAAGCATAGTGCTTTGTATGATTTACTGATTATAATATTTGCAAAATACTTCAGATTAAAATACTTTAAATGTTTACATTTTGTGATATTTATGCAAAATTACAAATATATGATTTATTGTTCATAATATTTATAAAATACTATGATCAAAAAATATCGCAGGTTTTACGGTCTATTAAAATTTGTCATAAAGTTTATATTTTATAATGTTTACACAATACTAAAGTTAAAATACTTCATAAGGCATACCGTAATTATAGATTTTTTATATTTAAAAACTAATGTAATTTGATGATCTACATCAGATTTTCATATTCTATTTATCAACTTCAGGATGTAATATCTAGTTAAAGTATTAGTCGTTGAATATTTTCTTTTAGCATATTTTAAATCTACACTTGATAAAATATTTGCATATATTAGAAGATTTTATATATCAAAAATAGATTGAAAATTGAACACAAAGTCAAGCTTATTAAGTAATATTAAAAAGTAAATATTAGTTTCTAGATTTTTTTATTTTCATCTTTGGTGGTGATGATAGTCTTGAAGAAAATACCATAGAACTATTTTCTATATTATTATTTGAATTAATTTGAGATGCATAATATAATAATGATATATTGACATATAATATATTCTGTAATTATAAAAATATGTTAATTTTTAACAAGTGAAATAAAATTTAAATAAGATTTACTATTCATAAACCCTTATTATCAATATTGTTTCAATAAAATTAAATATAATTCCTTTATCATTTGGTTGAATTAAAATTTCAACAGTTTGTAAATTATAGAGATAATGTATTTTATCCATATCTTAAATTAGGATATTTAGATGCATCTTATTTTTAGCAACTTGAATTCTAATAATACTAAAATTATCCTTTTCTAGTTTGTATCTTTTGTGAGCCTAATACATTCTATCATTCATCTTTCTCTAAGTTTTTACCTGATCATCTTTCTTTTTTATCTATTACAAATAATACAGGAACTTTCGCTATAAATTAATTTATATGTCCTATTATAAAAACTAGCAATAAACATAATATCTGATCATTTTCTAACTCCTTTTCGATTTTTATTAACCATACTTTGATGCTTAGTTGTAGAAATATAACTAGATTTTCTAATCAAAAAATCTTCTAATAATGCTTGAATTAATGGAATAATTATATCAGCTATATATGTTTCTTTACTTTGTAACTTAACAAGTTTTGTTTTAAAAGCAGGATTTTTTTCAAATATCTCTTCTATAAAAATATTATTAAAGAACAAATTTTATTAAAAAAAAATATAAATATTACGTTATTTTATAAGCTTTATCATGAAATACTTACAAAACATTAAGTATATCTAATATAACTTTTGCTAGATTTTTATCAGATTCTTTTCAGCTTTTATTATGTATAAGTCTATTCATTAGAATATTTGTAATGCTATCTTCAAAATTTAAAATAAAGATTTCACACATGTTCTTGATGAAGGCTAGAGCAGTTATTTTCATACATTTCAAAGGTTCCTAGAGATTAAAATATTAATATAATACTAGTTTGCTGAAAGAATTTTACAACTAAATAAGACATATTTATTACTTACCATAAAAATATTATAATTGTTGACTTTTAAAGTGCTTATCATTTTTGAATCTGCATATATTACTTGACTAGCAATTAGAATACACTATGATAATTTTGAAGTATCTTTCTTCTTTAAATATTTACAAAAATGAGAAGCATATAGAGTATTGTTTTTTCTAAGATTAGTTTTCAATTTATGCAAGTTTGTCTTAATTTCATCTCTTAAAAGCGGTTCTTATTTTGATTCTTAAATACTTCAAAGACTGCTTACACCTTCATATACATCATCAAACTAGCGTAGAAACTTTATATTAGTATTTATTTTAAAATTTTGATAATAGAAAATATGTGCATATTCCTATCTAAATATTTCATATAAATTATTGATCATATATAGCCTGCATATAACTGATAATATACATAAATAATATATTTTTTTATAAATTAGAATCAATTTCTATCCTTGTGTATCTAAAAAATTAATACAATTAATTTAAACTTGTGTCTACATGGCTATAGGTACTCACTTGGTTTGACTATAGAATATTTTTTTACGCAATCATCATTTAAGAGTATAAATCTAATAAAATAATAATCATTATCAAAGGAATATTAACAAGTTTCAAATACTTTCCTGAACTTTGTTGATAAAAGTTTTTCACCTCATTAATCACATCATAAATTATTTCTCTCAGTTCATCTTTTGGATATCACGTGTCATATTCTATTAGTTAAAAAATAACAGAAAATGTGGTAATATGATCTAAAGATAAATTATACAAAAATTACAAATTTTGTTACATATTTAGAAGAAGACATAATAAAATATTAATAGTATATATCACATAAAATAAAATAAATCATTATAAAATGATAAATATCCTAATTTTCATTATATTGCCTTTTTATATACCTTATAATTTACATTTTTTCAAGATATTAAGGACTAAGCAGAAGACTATACAATATATACTAATGCTAAAATTTTCTATTTAAGAATAAGAGCATAATTTACAAAAGTATTAGAGATTATACAGATTTAGATTTTTATTTCACTCTCACTTTATTATTCAAAATTTTTTTTAACTATAGAAATACATTAATAAATACTATTCTGCTCAAAAAAAATTCAGGACTTTTATGTAAGAAATTATTTTATTATATAAGCAGAAAACATGTTTATTTATATCACATATGCTTATGAGATTATAATTTTTAAATTTAAGAATAAAATATGCTAATTTCATCATGACTTTATATTAATAATTTAATATATTAAGAATAATGCAAAGAAGATAGGAATATGTTAAATAAAAAAAGAAAAAAAAATAATAATACAATATTTTATTGAACAAGTATGTATGTAATTACTTCCTTTAATTTATTTTCATTTATCATGTAAAACTTCATAATAATAAAATAAATCTTCTAATTATAATACATACTATTTGAAAACATTTCTTAACTTTATATGTTTAATCTTTGCATTACTAAAGTATTATAAAATTTTGTATTATGAAATATCTATATAAATATGCAAAATAATTTTCAATCTCTATCATAAATATTCACAAATTTCTTAAATTCTTTTATTAAACTCAAAAGTTTATACAAATACTTTTCAACTTTACTTATTTTATTATTATTAATCTTAGTTTTAAAATGTCTCAAAGAAATAAAGAAAAAGCTATATCAATTTTTAATAATTTGATTTTAGGCCATAAAAGATAGGAGACATTTGTATTATTGACTATATTAAGAACCTCTAAGATATATATAAGGTATAAATCTGAGTATGATGTTAAACTAAAGCATAACATTAAGCTAATATTGTTTAAATTGTCCAAGAGAATAAGAGTAAGTTTAAGTTTGACAAATATTTAGAGAAACTCTCCAATAGATGTTGATAGTAATTTTTTTATTCTTTTTTATTTTATTAAAATTATTATTATATTTAATTAAGAAATCAAAATAGATGATGAAGATAAAATAATAAAATTATTGAACAAGATCATAAAATAAAATACAGAATTAAAAGTGACGATTGATGAATTATTAAAAAAACAGAAGAGAATGGAAGAACATTTAAAGAGGATGGAGGATGAAAAAGACATAAATAAAGACTTCATCAGAGTAATAAATTTTTTATTTATAATATATTTATATTATAATTTTATTATTTACCAATATTTTAATTTATTAGGAAATAGTAAGTAATGTAGTAAAAGTCTTATTACCTAATAACATTTATCTAATCAAGGATGAATTTTACGAGACTACAGAGAAATATTTAGCTGAAAATTATGCGAGTTTTTATAATAATTTAAGTGAAAAATACTAGACCATTTTTTATAATAAAAATATATATCAACAGATAATTTTAGAACAATTTTGCTTTATTCATCTTAAAATTTTAAATTAAGAAATAAATTCATTTTTTAAATAGTTGATGTATAAACTTAGAAGTTTTCACAGGTCATTGACTTCTCGAATTAGAGAAGCATTATTTAGTGTATATAAAAAATCTCAGTTATTTTCAATAAATACTAATGTATTTTTAACTAAAATTTATTACTAGAAAACATTACCTTTGGTGAAGAAATGCTACAATGATTTATTAAAATAAAAGAATAAAACTGAAAATAACAAATTATTCTGAATTTTAACAAAAGTTTTTCTGAACTGTAAAAAGTTACTTAGAATTACTAGTTACATATGCAATTAGCATATACTGAATAATATTAAATCTGGTAAATAAAAATTTGCAAATAAATAGTTCAATCATGAAAAAATCAATCTGAAAAAATATGATAAGTATTAAAAAATTTTTAATTCTGTAGCAAAGGATTAAGGGTAATATGAGATTTAGGCTTAAATCTGATAAGAAGGATAATGAGAAAGATGAAAAAAGTGTCTATTCTTAAGAACAATCTATAGTAAAAGAAACTATAGAGATTTCAAGTAATAGTATTGCTACTATACAGCATACAAAGCATATACAGCAGATGCAGCTTAAGTAGTTAATTTATATTTTTTATTTCTTTATTTTATTCAATTTTATTTTATTTATTTTATTTTATTTTATTTTATTTTATTTTATTTTTTATTTTTATTTTATTTTTTTTTATTTTTATATATTTTTTATACAATTTTTTGAGAAAACAATTTGCTATAAAAAAGGTATATATTTGCAAATCTTAGTACAACTTCTAAGCATTTCTTTTTTAATATAATAAATTTTCTGAGAATGTTGAGTGATATAGCATAGAAATTTAAATGTAAAATTATTGACAAATATAAACCATTTAATAAAAACTATCAAAAAATTATTATAAATAGACTTTAATATCTCTTTGAATAAATCAAATAAAAAATATAATAAATCCTTTAAACTATTATACATATATAAAATAACAAATAGTTAATTATAAATGTCTATTTTTTGTAAGCGAAAATTTAATAGTCATTTAGGATATAGTTAGTATATTAATGTTTGCAATCATCTAGTAATGATAAAAGTAATGATGATTCTATTATAGATATTAATGATATTTCATTAGAAAGTGAAAAGATTTTTAATTCTATTAATTCTATTGAGATATATATTATAATAAAGATTTTTGACTTTTTAAAATATTTTTAAATATAATTTATTTTAGATGTATTATGAAAGTTTATATGAAGAACTTACTTCACCTATTAAAGAATTATTACTTTTAAGTAATTACAGTCAACTCTTGATATAGTGAACTCTTGATATAACGAATTTTTTGAACAAATATAATAAAAATACTCTTGTTATAGCGAATTAGCCAATCAAATCTCTTAAACTCTTCACTATAGCCTTATAGCGAAGTTGAGGTCTAGGACATAGAGTTCGTTATAACAAGAGTTGACTGTATAGTGGTAATTCAGAAAATTTTATTTCTAAAGATTCAATAATAAATCAAGATATTTATATAAAGTTAAATCTGAAATAAATGTAAATTACCCTAATGAAGTATATGAAGATTTTATGACATTAGAATTAAAAATAAATTAAATAATAAAGTAAAAAATAAAATAATCCATTTTTTTAATAAGCATGCAAATCTTATTAAATCTCTATTACCTAAATTAACTGAATAATAATGATAATATATGAATAATATAATATAAATTAACTAAATTTAGTTTATCAAAGACTTGTGTAATAACTTATAATGATATTAAATATTATCTTCATCATTGCAATCTTATAAATTGCATAAAAAATATTCTAACTATTTCTAATATAATGGAAAACTTTGCATTAAATTTTGAAAATCTTTGAAGTAATTATTTAAATTTATATAATTTTATATTTATACAGTAGCGGTCATAAGTATCTGACCACCCGAGATCGTCCAAAATTATTATATAACTACCCCTTAAATTTTCCAG